GCGAAAAACACCAATTTCGATACGGCCGAAATACCACCTCATCCTAGTGCAAAAACATTTTGTCAAAAAATGCAAGTTTTTTAAAAATGAAATGTTTCCATTGAGCTAATTTATTTTCGAAATTCTAATTTGCGCATTTTCATTGTCAATGGAAACACAGCTAATTTGAATTTATGGAATTTGACAATAATTTTTCCCCCAAATATTTAGCAACCTTCAACCCACCATTCCATCCTGTTCTCTCAGCCCCCCATCTACCTTCCAACACCACTGCATGTCAGCACAACAACTACTGTAACAGTTGTTTACTCTAAAGAAACTGATTTTTGCTACTGCTAGTACTGTAGACCATGATTTATTGCAAAGTGATGCATGATGCAATGAGGAACATGTAGTCTGACAGCATCTATGACCATAGATTCCACTTCATGGTCCTTCCAAATTAAACTACAATAGCAAAAAYGGCTACTGGGTCTAAGTTTTGTTGTTGTTTTTGAGAGAGGGTTGAGAATGTTGTGATGATAAGCATTGTTAGGAACAGAAAAACCACTTGGTGTTCATATAAAAAGAAAATAAGTCATTGTAATTTTTAATTATTCTTAAATATTTTAAGAAAAATAAAAACTATTCTTCCAAAATCACTGCATGTTAATGTGTCTTTTGTCTGTTTGAAGGGGTCAGAGGTCACTGAGCAGGTCCTGCACACAGTCAGCAAATCCTCCAGCCTTGAAGAGATCACATTAGAAAACGTTGGATTAAAATCGTAAGTTTTATTGTTTAAAGGCTTTAATTTGACTGATGTGGAGTTCTGCAAATGTCTGTCTTAGTATGTTTAGGTGCTTAATGGAATCTGAACTCAGGAGTCTGAACCATAAAAAGATCCCTCCAGGACCTGAAACATGTCTCTGTTCTTCAAAATTRTACTTTTATGTTGCATTTTGTTATTCTGTGACAAAAGGCCCCACCCACRTCCTCTTCAGTCATCTTTTGCTTTTGACTTGTCATAACATATTTGGTTTTTCAAGTGTCTTCAGTTAAACTGACTTCACTTTTAATTTAGTTAAAACAGATTGGGCCACATACAGAACATGTCTCTTTTCTGTACTTTGAGAGTGAAACACACAAACAAGCCTCTCTTCTTACTAAAGAACACTACCTCGCTGAGTCATCAGAAACTCCACATGGGCTGTCTAATCTAGGCTATTGGAGATTTCTCTTTTTTACAAATGAAAAAAATATTAATATATACACAGGGTTTATTTCTTTGTGTTAAAAAATAAGCAATGTTCTTTATCTTTTACCTGTTCAGATCTAACGCCAGTTAATAATATAAAAACAGTCTGCACATAAAATCATCAACTCAATCAGAAATAACCACATTATAAAATATATTACTGTTCACCTAATAAAAGACTATACTGTACAATGTGTAGTGTCTTTAAAAGTCAGTAGTAAACAACCCCAATACATTTATTCAATAGTAAAATGCAAACAAAAAATATATACAAGTCCCACAATGGGCCGTTAAAGGTTGTACAATAGAATATTTACTCAGAAAACTGATGTTTTTAATAATAAATAAAGGAAATAATCAGAATACCAGTTTGTATCATTAAATAATAAAGTATACTTGTGTTTCTGTGAAGTGACTTCCCACAGAAGATGTCAGCTGCTCTGTCAGAGAATCCTGCCTCTGTCATTCACTCCATTAATTTGGCACACAACTCATTGGACAACCAAGGTAAGAACAGATGTACAGTATATATATA